CAAATCGCTTATTATTGCGTAATATAATAACAAACATTGTAATGAATCAATTAACATCGCTAAAATAGTATCGGTCACAAACCTTTGACCGACCGATATTGGTTACGGTTATGACCGGTCATTGACCGGTCATAACCGTAACCGACCCACCCTAGGTTTAATAACAGATATTTGTAATGGTATTCGGCCAAAAACATGCAATTTTGTGCCTCAAACTTATAATGATATGCTAAGAAAATGTTGGGATCAAAATCCTTTAGAACGACTGACTATAGCTATGGTTTTGTATTTGATTCGAATATTATGTACATGTTATAGGTATCATTTATATTTAACTGACTGGCTGAATAATACAGAGAAATCGACATTCAATGAATATGCATCTAAACTTAAAGAATATGAATTGAGGAAACAGGATTTGAAATTAAATCAGGAATTGCTCAATTCGCATAATGCAACTATAACATATAATTTGATGAGATGGAAACAGATATTCCTATTCATCGGAATGCAGTATACAAAAGTCGCGCTATTAGTATTAGCAATGGATATATGACTCATCAAAATGATATGGCACTTCCAATACATTATGTAATTTCCGATATATAATAAATGAAGATTCGTTATCAATGATAGTTATTTTACAAATTACGATCAATTTTAGTGTTGCAAACTTAATTATCCCCTTTCAAATTAGTGTGATCTCTGCTGATCGTCTCTCACTTTAAAGATCAGCAAAATTCTCTAATTTTAGCACCTTTTTTGCAAAGAATTCTAAATATCTTGCTAGCAAATAAAAGTTTTCCAAATTCTTCTCCTATTCTCGCTTTTCTGATATTGTATCTAGCTATATACGGAAACTAGGGCAAAATAAAATTGGAAATTTCGGGGTCTTTTTACTGCTGATCATAAAGAAATAATAATTTGCAACACTGCTTCTATCGTCTACTTTCAATTATAATTTATAAAATTTTACAATAACTTTTAAAAATAATCCCAAAAATCGAAACTGACCATGCTAATATTGAGAAATCGTCGCTCGACATTTAAAAAAAATTATTTACAATTATGAATTTGATAATTTGGGTATAAAATTAGCAAGACCGAAATGTGTGAGGTTAGACATTAGCAAGTTATATAGTAAAATTGTTCGGGAAACCCTTTTTATCAAATAGTTTTTTGTGAATTTACCCAGCACAATCACATGAAATGTGAGAGGGATGGTTTCGTTCAACCTTTTTCGAATCCTATATTTTTTCCTGGTTTGGAAATTTTCCCAGTTTGGAAATATTATAATTACGTGCGCACAAATTTTTTCTATTTAAGGTAGGAGTTTATATTGTGAGGTCCAATAACGTGACGTAAATACTCTGCCGGGACCTCACGTGAGAACGGGTACGACGATCAATTCCTCG